TGAAGGCTGAGAAATATCGTAGAGATGAGCAACTAACACTAACAAATTAAGATATAATCATAACAGTATAAATACTTCCCTGTCCCTAAATTTTTTTCACTCATTACAGGAAGTTTGTTTATGGAAGTTTTTTTTAACCTATCTATGAATCATGAAAAAATTCTAGACATAATAAAATGCAAAAACCCTTCAAGTAGAAATGACAAATTAAACATCAGAACCAGAATCAGATACTTCAGAAATGTTGTAACCATCAGAGTGGGAATTTAAAACAACAACAACAACAACTGTAGTTAATATACTAAGGACTCCAAGAAATCAAATAAGTATTACACAAAAACAGAAAGTAAATGTTATTTGGGAGATGGAAGCTAAGAATGACTAAAAAGAAATGCTATAGATCAGACACACTGTAAAACAGAAATAAATACTGGCTTGGATGGGCTTATTAGTTAACTAGGTGTGGTTGAATTTGTGAATCTAGTTAACTAGATGTAGCTGATATGTGAATCAAAAACTGACAACTGAAAAGTACAAAAAAGAATAAATGAACCCAATATCCAGCTAGTGTATAACAATTACCAAAGTTATAACACATACAAACACAAACACAACAAGAGTATTGTAGATATAGATATAGATATATAGCTGCAAAATTATTTAAATGTTTCCTTACTCAAAGCATTTTGATTTTTGCTTATCTAATTTCCAAATTCATTGTAAATGATGCTCTGAAAACCACATATTTTAAGTCTTAAAGGTATCATTAAAAGCAAAATTGATAGAGTGTAAATAAAAGTAATTTGTATGTATACCAGAAAGCCATCCAAAAAAAGTGTATAGTTATATGCTTACTAATTTTATGGGTGCCTATGACATTCTAAATTACAGTACATCTCCCATATCTACATCCAGCAAAGGGTCTTAAACATATTATTTACTGCTCTGAAAATTATCCATTTGAAAATGCTGCTTTTGCAGGATTAGGAAGGAATACTGCAGAGTGGGGGAAAGCGAGGACAGGCTTTGAAGTCTAACACAACTGGATTTGAACTGTGGATTTGCAATTTGATAGGTCATATTTGCTGGATCTATAATTTGTTCAGGATGCAAGTCAAATTCCCCAAGCCACCATTCTGTGATCTGTAAAATGAGGAAATGAAAACTCTCCTGTATTTCAAGACTTACAGAAGACATTTTGAACATGACTAGCAATAAAATGCATGGCAAAAAATCAATATATGTAAATGGATTATTTCCATGCCAACTTGCGATAATAGAGATGATATGTTTACTAGCTACCCTGAGAGTGATTTTTTGAATGAGATTTGGAGTAATCATTGGTTAATTTTCTTTCTCAGTAATTGTTTCCTTCTCTTTCTCCCTTTTAAGCAAACCCAGATTGATTTTTTTATGAAATCCAATTTTCTCTTTCTCAGTGTAGCAGTTATACAAATTGATAGTGTTAGCTCTACCTTCAGCTCCACAGGTGCCCACTGAGGGATGTGTGCAATGGGTGTGAGCAATTGGTCTAATCACAATCCTTGCTTCCACAGTCACAGGTTTAAGAACATGCAGTGACTCAAGCCAGGGCTCTTTCTCTGACCAGTTATTGGTCCAACTTGATTTAAATAAATGAAATGCAAACATGGTGATAGTTGTATAAAACTATATTTCTGCATAAAAATTTGTAACTGTAATCTGTTAAATTGGAAAAAAAAAGTTGCAATGACAAAAGTCAACCTTAGAAACAAGTCAAAATTAAAAAAGAGAATCAAGCCAGAGGAATTACTGAGAAATGGATCAAAGCTCACATTAAATGTTAAGAAAATGGAAAACCCTCTCCTTTTTTTCTAGTTCAGATCCTTAGATGTCTTTTCATTTTCATTTGGTCTCCACGTCTATTTCTCATTTCAGCCTAAATTTTATTATATAGTTTTAGTTTTCATTCAGCTCAGCACTCTAAGACCTTCCATGTTTTCTGCCAATTCAGTGCAAAATGAACTGCAAGATCATTGCTAGTCCAGTGAAGGAAGCCAGAGGGAATAACCAAAAGAACTAGTTTAGAATTAGAAGCCTGATATAAATAGCTGGAAAAGTTACTATTGTATCAACTCTGTAAATAGAAAAATAAGAGAAGAGGATGGCAACCCAGAATAATTCTTGGTTTTACAGGAATTTCCATATTCAGGAACAAACCTTCTGTGCAACTATATAATTCACTGTAGACAGAATTTGGGAGAAAATAGACAAGCCCAATCTTCCGAATAGAAAGGAAGTTCATAAAGTTTATGGCATGAAGCAGTAGACTGAAGAGTTGAAGAGAAAATTTGACCATTCTAAGGTTCCTCCAGCATCTGTGTAATATCCTGTTGAGAATCTTTTTTTTTTTTGGTAGAACATTCCAGTGTGGATGGTTTTAAGTGATGTGAAAGCAGGAATGTATTTATTCAAACTTACATTTATGTAGATATATAAGCTTAAGTAGTCAATGTTGATGTTTTCATATTCGTACTTCATTTGATTTCTATCATTTACTTGGAATTCGGGTCGGGGGAGTTCCTTTCAAATAAGGACATTAAATTTCCAAAAGCATTTATTTAATGACCCAGGAAACATTAAGTCTTAGATCCATGTTTTGTTTTTATTAGTATAAGTATTATTCCTATGATTCAGAACTTCCTTAAAATTTAGGTAGATGTATATTTTTTTTAAAGGATGTTGAAAAGGTATCTCCAAGTCAAATAAGAGTGGAATTCGGACTAAGATAGAAAAAAAATGTGGGACTCAATTGTCCTACCATTTTCATTGTGATTAAATTGACCCACACTGTTTTTCCATTGAACAATAAAGACTTTTGTATCATTTTGCCTTGCAAGAACTGCAGAAATGTAGCGTTAACCTTCATTTCCTAAGGAAGAATATTCATAATCAGATTAATGTCCATTTCTAAAGTGGAATAGGATCCCATTAGTGTTCTTCTTTCTGCAGAAATATTAGTTGTTACTTCAGATCATAGGATAGTAATCTAAACTTGTTTTTAAATGACTAGTGCTTGGGTGGGTGCTTTTTTATTTCCTCTATACACCTGTGAGAAAGAAGGAGGGTGAAGGGTATGGAAAGCTGAGAAAGTGGCTCAGTGGTAGAGTGCTTGCCTTACACGTATGAGGCCTTGGGTTCAATTCCTCAGCACCACATAAATTGAAAAAGCCGGAAGTGGTGTTGTGGCTCAAAGTGGTAGAGTGCTAGCCTTGAGCTGAAGAGCTGAGGAACAGTGTCCAGGCCCAGAGTTCAAACCCATGACCACCACCAACAACAACAACAAAAAAAAAACATAAAAAACAAAACCTGGGTATGGAGGTGTATGGGTGAGGAAAAGAATAGCACTATTAAAGGTTATGTCAAAAAACAGAGGTGGGAAGGGGCCTTGGGGGCGAGTGGCCATGGGAATGGGAAGGGATGGGAAGGGAAAACAAAGGAGGAGGCAACAATGCTTGATAAGAAATGTACTCATTACCTTGCCCATGTAATTGTAACCCCTCTGTACGATATTTTCACAAAAAAAAATTTAAAAAATAAAAAATAAAAGTTAGGGGGACTAGTTGCAAAAGTCTGTGAGTATACCAAATTAGCCTCTGAATTATGAATTTATAAGGGTACAAATTTATAGTACATGATTTAAATCTAAATAAACATTTTTAAATATGGAATTATTTGATTTAGCCTATGAGGGACAATTTGATGTGAGATTATGGTTCATTTTAGGGGATAAATTACAAATACAGTTACTTGAACAGTTTTAACTATAATCTGATATGTAGAAATTTCCATAATAATATTAATAATCCTTAGTCTAATTATCTTGGGCATTTGTTCTTTTGAAGGCAGTTAATTGTCCTTCAAAAAAGCAATCCATTAAAACTTTTCAAACAAATAGAAGAAATCTTTTCTTTTTATTAATAAGCTTTTTATTGTGAAAATACCTTACAGAGGGGATACAGTTAAATAAGCAAGGTAATGAGTACATTTCTTGTCAAGCATTGTTGCCTCCTCCTTTGTTTCCCCTTCCCATCCCTGCCCTCCCATCTCCCCTCCTCCCCCCCCAACCCACAGCGCAAAAGTTGTAAAGTTCATTTTTCCACATAATGATTTGTACATCTCATTGTTGCAATGGGTCCACCTGTATCCCTATTTAAACAATTGGTTTTTTCCCTTCCCTTCCACAAATTATACGAACATCAAATACAGTGAAAATAGGGGTTAAACCATAGGGGAGGGACATACAAAGCAACAAAAAGATCATCTGATAAATATGTTAGAAACAATAGCAAGAAAGAAAAACCGTTTGAGTCTTTATCCTGGGGTTCATTCCGCCTATCATCAACTTATCTGACCATTTCTGCTTGTCTCAGACATATACTAGTTATTGCAAATAAGGGAAACCATGGGACCTATGTTTCTTTGGGCCTGGCTTACTTCACTTAATATAATTT